GGAATGGGGCTGGAACGGGAATAAAACGGGAACAGAACAGGGCTGGAACGGGAACAAAATGGGATCAGAACGGGGCTGGAACGGGTTGGAATGGGAACAGAATGGGCTCAGAACGGGTCTGGAACAGGAACAAAATGGGTCTGGAATGGGTCTGGAACAGATCCAGAACAGAAACAAAACTGAGCTGGAACGGGTCCAGAATGAAATCAAAGCTGAGCTGGAATGGGTCTGGAACCGATCCACAATAGAAACAAAACGGGTCTGGAACCGATCTTGAACCGATCCAGAACAGGAATAAAAGTGATCTGGAACTCATCCAGAACCGATCCAGAACCGATCTAGAACATATCCAGAACAGCGCTAGAATCGATCCAGAAATGGGAACAAAACTGAGCCGGAACTGATCCGGAATGGATCCAGAACAGGAACACAATGGTTCTGGAACCGATCTGGAACCAATCCGGAGCAGGAATAAAAAGTTATCTGGAACTGATCCGGAACAGATCCAGAACTGAGCCGGAACGGGAACAAAACTGAGCTGGAACATATCTAGAACTGAGCTGGAACGGGTCTGGAACCCATCTGGAACCAATCCAGAACAGATTCAGAACTGAGCTAGAACCTATCTGGAACCGATCTGGAACAGGACCAAAACTGGTCTGGAACAGGGCCAGAAAAGAAATAAAACTGATCCAGAATGGATCCAGAATGAAAACTAAACTGAGCTGGAACCAATCCAGAACGGGAACAAAACTGAGCTGGAACAGGTCTGGAACCGATCCAGAACGGGAACAAAATGGGTCCAGAATGGAGCTGGAACTGATTTTCCCAGGGAATGTTCCCATTTTCCTGGGGAATTTTCCCAGGGGATTTTCCCGATTTTTCTGGGGAATTTTCCCGATTTTTCTGGGGATTTTTCCATTTTTTCTGGGGATTTTTCCATTTTTTCTGGGGATTTTTCCATTTTTCCCAGGGGATTTTCTTGGTTTTTCTGGGGGGATTTTCTCGATTTTCCCGTGGGATTTGCCAGGGGGATTTTCCCATTTTTCCCGGGGATTTTCCTGGGAGATTTTCCCACTTTTCCAGGGGGATTTTCCCGATTTTCCCATGAATTTTCCCATTTTTCCCGGGGATTTTCCTGGGAGATTTTCCCACTTTTCCAGGGGGATTTTCCCG